AGAGAGAGAGAGAGAGAGAGAGAGAGAGAGAGACTGGTGTTAGACTAAGAATGCCACAATTCCTGGGGGACAGTAGATGTTTTTACCCCTGTGTCAGTATTTGTGGAACGAATTAAAGCCGAACTCTTGGGCATTCAGTCACTTTGGCTTGTCTGAGAGCATCTAATCCCACACTGGGTCATCTGCCTTCCCTCTTCCTGTCCCGGGTTTTGACTTACACAGCAGGCCTCCCAAAGTGAGCTAGTCTGAGGATCTGAGCCTGTGTCCCTTGAGGCCGGTGGCTCAGAAGGGCAAATCCTATGCCTCCTTCCATGGAATGACTATTTTCCCAAATGTCCAAATATAATGCTTTGGGTTTTCCCTAAGCCATAACTGGTTTCAACACTTCCCTGCAGGAGCCTCAGGGCCAGGCAGGGTCTGCTGCCCTGACACCTCCAGGACCCTCCTCCTCCACCTGGATGGGCAGGGCCGCTGTGTTCTGCAGGGTCAGTGTGGTGGCTGACCAGGTCCTGCCTGGTGATCAACGGAGGGAGGAGGACCAGCTTGTGCATCCAGGGCGCACAGTGAACACCCTGTTCACATTCCTGCTCCAGCCGGAATGCTGGGACCAGCCAAAGGCCGCATTCCTCCGGCAGCGGCCAGATCGCAGCCCAGGCTCCGGCCCCGCCTCCCCTCGGCCCAGCAGGCCAGTGCAGCCCCAGTCTGTAGGACGCCCCCTGGCGGCCGGGGCTGGCACGGCGGCGCCCTTGGGCTCTCCTCTGTCCGCAGTTTGGATTGGAGCATGGATCATTACCTTCCTTTTGCCTGAAACTTCTAGATTCCAGACACTGTGACTCCCATCGATCACTCCACTTTAATGTTTGCAGCCTCGACCTTTTCTAATATCCTGGTCCCTGCCTCCCATACCCCACCCCTGCCTCCTCTCCAGAGGAATCATCACCCAGTGCGTCACCTTCCTGTAGGTACTTTCAAGGCTAGAGACCTAGATGAGTGAATGGCAGGGCCTCACCTTGGCCCAGTTACTCAGTGCCCACAGAATGACTTTTTCGAGACTTCAGTAAGGTGGTAGGGAAAGGAGATGTAGTTGGCCCTGTTCCTTGGTGGCCCTGGGCACAATGAGTAGACCCCTGCCTGCACATATCCCTGAAGGCCAGAGGAGGGCACCAGATCTCATCACAGATGGTTGTGAGTCACCATGTGGTTGCTGGGAATGGACCTCAGGACCTCTGGAAGACTAGCCAGTGAGCTTAACCTCTGAGCCATCTCTCCAGCAGTCCTCTCTTTTTTCTTTCTTTCCTTCCTTCCTTCCTTCCTTCCTTCCTTCCTTCCTCCCTTTTTTTTTTTTTTTTTTTTTTTGAGATAGGGTTCCTTTGTGTAGCTTTTTGGAGCCTGCCCTGGAACTTTCTCTGTAGACCAGGCTGGTCTCGAACTCACAGAGATCCACCTGCTTTTGCCTCCTGAGTGTTGGGATTAAAGGTGTGTGCTGCCACTGCCAGGATCCTCTTTGTTTCTTTTACATTTATTGACTTTAGTGTGTGTGTGTGTGTGTGTGTGTGTGTGTGTGAGTGAGTGTGAGAGAGAGAGAGAGACTCAGTATTGAGTGGAGGTCAAAGGGCAGCTTTAGGGAGTTGGTTCTCTTCTATCATATGAGCTCCAAGGATCAAACTCAAGTCATCAGGCTTGGTGACAAGTGCCTTTAACCACGGAGCCACCTCAGCAGTCTTTCATTTCTTTTATATATTTTGGATAGAGCCTTTAGCTCCTGGTTCTGGTTCCTTTACTTCCGAAGGGCTGGAATCACAGACACACACCCTTACACTAGTTAATGCTAGGGATGCAGTCTAGACCTGCCTGCATGCTAGGCAAGTACACTCCACCCCAACCTCTGCAAAGTTTTCAAATTTATCTTATAGTGTTTCCCCAATCATTAGTTTGGATTTGGGAGGCAGGCTTGTCAATACGCCTCCTGGTCCCACTCAGAGATTCCTAGTCAGGAGGTCTCTGTAGGGTCCAGGTCTGCACATTTGAAACTCATCCCAAGGGACCTGGATACAGGACTTAGACAAAAATGCTAAAAGTGGCTTTGCTTTTCTTCTCAGTAAATCCATTGAGTATGGACTTCTCCTCTGTCAAGATTTGGATAAATCCCACTAGATTACTTCTTTAATCCTTTGTCCCTAAAAAAATAATTCCACAGTGGAATGCAGTTTCAAGGAAAGCCCTTCTATTTTCCAAGGAGGGAAAATACACAGTAAACCGAAGTAGAGCCAGAAAAGCCCCACATAGCAGGCAGAGTTATGCCAGTGAACAATACAGGGTACCACACGGAGGGGCCAACACCATCCTTTTCCCATATTTCCTTTCTTTCTGTACCAGGTACCAAACACTCATGAGGCAGAACAAAGACAGAAAAACAAAACAAAACAAAACAAAACCCTGATGTTAAGAGCTTTAGCCATCTTTAGAACCAAAGTTCCTATGGGTCATGATTCTAGTGTCCACCACTGGAGGCCTGGCTAGCAACAGTTTTCACAGAATCCAGTTGCCCAGGTGCTTGGCCCCAAACAAACTGGAGGAGTTGCTAAGGTAAGATCGCTGCCTCCTTGACTGTGGCACACACTTCCTCGGCTTCAGCATGATTTTGCTCACACTCCTATATGCCACGAGCGAGCACTGCTGTCACTAGCTGTTGTTAGCATCAAGGCCTTTGACATTACCTCAAGCCTCGCCATAAATGATATCATTTCAAAAGGTTTGATGGGTTCGAACTTGGAAGTCACACCTTGTCAGAGCTGTCACTGGTTTAATGCTGTAACGCAGCTAAGAGTTCAGACAGGCATGGAAGTGACAACTTAGGCATTTTTCCCAGTTCATATCAGGTACCGGCTGTTTGCTTTAGCTGTTTTTTTGGGGGTGGGCGGCTTTTTGAGACAGGGATTCTCTGTGTGGCTTTGGAGGCTGTCCTGGAACTAGCTCTTGTAGACCAGGCTGGTCTTGAACTCACAGAGATCTGCCTCTGCCTCCCGAGTGCTGGGATTAACGGCGTTTGCCACCACTGCCCGGTTTTGCTTTAGCTCTTCATTCCTTCTCTTCGAGGACTCCTTTATTTTGTGACACCCAGTCTCACCAGTAAGTAGAAATGGTGTACATGATACAGAGTCCTGGTCCCAGTGACGTGGTGGCTCTGCTTCCTCCCAGCTAGCTATCACGTGACACACGACCTCATAAAGGCACCAATCTGAACAGCAAAGGTTTTTGTTTGTTTGTTTTTTGGTTTTTTTTTTTTTTTTTTTGGTATTTTGAGACAGAGTCTCTAACACTTCTATTTTTAAAATATATAAGTACATAAATAAATGTTATAAATGTTCTTTCTCTTACCCTTAACAGGTCATATTACATATACCCCCAGTTTGGAGACCATTTTCCTGACTGGAATCTTCCCAGCTCAGGACCCATATCTCTGAAAGCCAGCCTTTTTCAGGAAGGGAGTCCCCCCCCAAAAAAAACAAGTGAGCAGGCCCATACCATAGAAAGAAATTCTAGGAAAAAACATTCCAGTTCATACTTCTACTTCTGAACCTTCGAAGCCACACTCCCAATATCCTGCAATACCCTGTGTCGGGTAGGTCCAAGACTTGGGGAAGGGAAGGTGGGGAGTCTGAATTTGGGAAACTCCTTTTGGACTTATAGGCTGTTCTCAAAATGCATTTCTGAAAGCACAGTGGCTGTGTTCCTGTCCTGAGCATGGAGAAACAGCGGCCTCTGGTGGCAAAGACTTGAAATGCTTCCCAAACGCTGGATTGCAGGTATCCGCCACCAGCAGCCAATGCTGTTGTCTAGAAAGCCCTTAAACCTGTCACAGGCCCATAGACTTGGGGCCTCGCCTAGGTTTGGTGAAGGAGAAAGGATGGGCCTGGTGCCCACACTCTTGCTAGCATGGAAGACAACCACGCTACACGTACCATGACAATATTCTTGGAAAAGCCTGATGCAGCCGTTCAGCTTGGGAGTGGGCTGGAGTGGAAAATTGGTTTCCATAAAAATACCCTGAAGCCAACTGATTTCTGAAGTTCATCTCCTTGAAAAGGATGATTTTCCTTTTCAGGTTAACTTCCCCTGCCTTGCTTCTATTCCTGACCAGAGGTCTGTCTCTCTTGGTTCTGTCCTTTTAGGAAGGAGACACAAAGAAAGCAGTAAATCCACAGACGACTGCCCTCACAGGCTCAAAGGTGTTTCCAATTTCTTTTTTACTAGATGTTAAACACCATTAACTCCAGGAAAAGTTCAAGTAAACACAACCATAATGAACTAGTTGACTCCACTAAGATCTGACACATATTTATGTGAAAAAAAAAAAAAAAGTGGGGTAATTTGGCCAGGCGGTGCTGGTGCACACCTTTAATCCCAGCGCTCCGAGGCAGCGGCAGGTATCCACCTGTGAGTGGATCTCTGTGAGTTCTAGGTCGGCCTGGTCTACAGAGCAAGTTCCAGGACAGCCCGCCAGTGCTACACAAAGAAACCCCCGTCTTGAACACCACCACACCCCCGCGCACACACCCAAAAAAAGAAAAAAAGTGTGATAATTTAA